TGCTCCACCCTGTATTGAAGGTCATGGGGAATAAATTCCCTGCACCAGGTCTGGGACTGGTATCAAGTTCTGTTATCCAGAAGGATCTAGTCATGTACTGTAGCAGTAATGAATATTGCATAGATGCACTGCTCCCTGTTGCTATGCCCATTGCACCCAAATCTCTACCTTGTTTGTCTGCTTCAACAATAGATCTTTGCCAGCAGAACAAATCTGCCAATAACATTTGGCCAGCCTATCAGATGAGCTTTGCCAGTGTATCTGGTGTTGTGCTGACATAGCAGGTCTTTTGCTGGATCCAAGTGCCCCCTCAGACATTATAACTCCAGGGTTGGAAACTAAACCTACTTCATAGAAGAGAATGTTTGTGACCATATTCCATGTCCAGTTTAGCAATAAAGCATTCAATTTCAAGCATGGCATTTTCTTGTGAAGTTTCTTATGAAGTTTCGTATGTACATGCTATTTTATTTGGCAAAATCAAGAGAATATTACTCTGCTGATAACATCTTTGGTCTAGTTTTTATTTGGTCCTACACACTTCCAATCAGATGTAATTGTTTCCACATTGCATCAGTATAAGTCTACCTACACCTCACGGATTACTATTCCAGATTTCCCTGTAATTATTTTCAGAACAATATTCAATCTTTTCCCTTGCTCATGGCTTTTCCCCATCCTGCTTCTCAAAGTTTTTTTTTTCTTTTATGCATCTCCCTTGACTTATTTTTCTTTAAAACTTTAGTATTTACATTTTCTGCTTTTTTGTTTTCCCCTGATTTACTTATGAGAATCATTTACTCAACTAGAAGAGAAGTGGTTGGAATAACTCTTGTTAAAGAATAATAGGGAATGAGAACGATAAGTTACTGCAAATAATCTATGGTCTTTTGCACATCCTTGTAAGATGCAGTTTGGATACTGACTAAGAGCCATCAGGATGTAGAATGCGTAAAGCTGAACTAGTAGAATTCCTGTCTTATATATAGGGGTTTAAACAGCACATTTGTAAAAGGAAAAAAGGTAGTAACTCTAGTGATTTTCCAAGAGAAGAGTAAGCATTTGATGCTCCTTTCTCTTTAGCTTCATTTTCATCATTTCAGATACCAGGCGCTTCTTGACTAGGCAACATGACCATGCTTCATTCAAAGAATCTGATGAGGGGTCCAGATGATAGTATCTTCAATTATAAACTTCCTGTTTCCCCATCATTTCTTCCATTTTTTTTCTTATCATAGAAAACATGTTAAGGAAGAGAAAATGGAATAGTGCTTTCTGATGAAGCTGGGAAAAGCTCTGTCTGGGAAGACCCACAATGTATTGGGGTGCCTAATCAAAGGGCTCAGATTGAAGGTCACTGCCTTAAAATGCACACCCAGCAAACCATTTCTATCGAAACCATTGCAATTCCATTATAATATGACTGCTGTAAAAAAGAAGTTCTTGAGAAAAAACATTCCTGAAAGAGGAAGTAAACAGAACATAGTTCTGCCAAATTCAATAGGAATCAAGACTCTTAAATAATTTATATAAAAGGGGGGCACAAGGTTCCCCCTTTGTGCTTTTAACAGCTGCACAACAAGCAGAAAAGCAGATGATAACTTTTTTAACATCACCATATGTATCAAAATGCCAGGAAAAGCTTTAATGGCTGAATTTCTGCTTGTTACACAGTTGCTAACTGCCACATCAGAAGAAAAGTTGACATCTCTCTAGTGAAGTTTCTCAGAATGCAATGCCAGAATTTGGTTACAGTGTAGTTAAACAAGCACTGATGTAATTATGTTACAAACATGCTATTTTAAATGCTGAAGTGTAAGTCCTGGGTTCTAGCAAGATTGTGGCCTAGGGTCAGCTAGGCATCTATCAATAGAAAAGGCTAAAGAAGATCACATTTCCAAAAACTTATTAATCCATTAAATTGCAGCAGTTAAGAATGAACTCAAACATATATGATAAAGGAACGTGTAAAGCCCCCCACTTTTTTTCAGAATAGGGCTCTTAAACCAATTATGTGGAGACTGAAACTGGTGAAGAAATCACTTATAGTTATTAAATGTTCAGAAAACTGAGACATGCAAAATTGCAGATAATTGATCATTTAGTTTGTGTTGTCAAAAGAGCAGAGACAGAAAGTTCATGCTTTCTATAAATCAAGGAGAAACTTCTGTAAATCCCACATTACGTACTGTCTGTCTGTCTGTCTGTCTCTCTGTGTGTGTGTGTGCGTGTGTGTTACACGCAGAGAAAGCACACAAGAAAGAGACATTTTTCTCTAACTTTGCCTTTCTCATTATAGAACACTGTGTCATTAAATCCTTCATACATGTTCATGGAAAAGGAAAATCATGATGTTTCTCCCCACTTCAGTTCTCGATGCAATCACTTGAAAATGTGAATAGAGCCTGCGGGTGCTTGTATTGCATGTACATGAACCATTGAGAACTTTGCAAAAGGAAAGGACCCCAAACAGTAATGGGTACAATGCTGTTCCCCCGTCCACACATTCAGTGTACACACCATGGTCTTCCACAAAGAACAGTGTGTCAGTAATGACCAGGGAAGACTTAAAATGTGAAGTGCAAGTTTATAGAAACAAACATAAGATATCTGGATAAACCAATAGACTGAAATATAAATCATGAACATGTTTAATAAATTTTTTAGACAGGCTGGAGCTTAGTTACCCATATTGCATTAAAATAAACTATCAACATCTTTCAATCCAGCAAGCTAGTTATTAGTTTAACCAAAAGGCTAAACATGGCTAGGTTGCAATACCAAAGGAGATTCTCCATCTTGGAGGAGTCTTCCTTTTGTTAGTGAATGATAGTAATTCTGCAGCACTTTCTCCTGTGTATTTATTTCTTTACTATACTTATATAGGGCCTTTTTCCCTTTCAAGGAACTCAAAGCAGCTCACTTAATTCTCTTCCTCCTCTCAGTCTTATTCTTAAAACAACAATGCTGTGATGTAGGTTGAGCTAAGAGTCTGTGACTGGCCCAAAGTTATCCCATAAGCTCCAGGACTGAAGAGGAATTTAAACTGAGATTTCCTGAGTCCCAGTCCTACACTCTGACTCTGTGTATGGTGATACTCTAAGGGAATGACACGTGTAAAGTGCTGGCATCCCTATGTGCTGGCTCATTTCCAAAATTACTCTCACTAGATATGTGTTGCTATGATGGCCAAACCTGACAAGAATGGGTGTCTGGGGTGCTGGGCAACATGTTCTTAGCATTTGAAGAGTGGAAAATAAGCCACTCTGCACATGTACAAACCCCATCACTAAGTCACAAGCCTATTATATTAAACCTGTATTCGAAAAGCATTGCATAGTTCTTCAGCTTTACTTTGAAGGACAATCAAGCAATAGATGAAGCAATGAGCGATAAATAGTTATCTCACCCCCTTTCCCCTGTCCCATCAGCAGATGCTGGAAAAGAACAGGCAGAGTACCAGTCTAGCTAAGAAGGATCCTGGGACCTCCTTCCTCTGTGATGTCTTGTCTTGAGTTTCACTACTTCAATAGGGGATTTTGTGGTGAAGCAAGAGAAGTTAGTCACTTGCTCAACCTCTCAGGGCATTGTGCAGGCATGCATCCACTTCTTCTGCATCTGCAAGCACATTCTCTTGCATGCTTCTGTAGGTGGTGCTCTTCTATGACAGGCAGTGAAGCATGGATGCAAGAGAGGGTAGCAGACATGCCTCCAATCTCTTGTTCACCCTAATGGTCACCAGAGCACTTGGGCCCATTTGTCTGTCTCAAAGAAAAGTGCAAGTTCCCACTTTTGCCCACTTGCTCACTCTCTAGGTGGGCACCATACACAGTTGACTACCCAGGGTGAAAGAGTGAGTGAGAAGAGGAAACAGCTGCTGCTTACAGATTTTTCCGTTTTCTTTCAGCTGCATGACTGGGCAAACAACGGCTGTCACTATCACTGTAGCCTGCTCCCTTCATATGGTTGTACTCCTCCCTTTGGGCAGTGCAGGGGACATCTCTACCTACTCATTTGCCCTCTGGCCGTGTGTGTGCATGAGTAGATCTCTCTGTCATAGGCATACACTTGCATGTATGTAGTTTTTATAAAGCATGTTCAAGGCTTCCATCTTGGTGAACTGTCCAGAGAGCTTTGGCTGTTGGGTGGTATACACAGAAAATAAATGCAATTTAATGGCGCATTGGCAAATTGGGGCAGGGAGCGGGGCAGCTACTTTTGCACTGTCTTTTTTGGTAGCATCGGGTGACCAAAGAGCTGGAGAGAGGAGCTGGGAGCTGCCACCACGTCTGCTTCGCGCAGTGCTTGGCTCGCACATGAAAAGGGAGAAAGCTGTGCGTGTCTACATGCGTGGAGACCCTGGGGGTCCCTCCCGCTGCGCTGAACTCTCTGCGCGTTTCCATCCTCTGCTAAGTGGGCAGATTAATGGTGGAGAGGCAGCCGTGCGCTGCTGGGCTGCTTCTCCTTCCCCGCTCGGCTGCCTCGCGCTTCCGAGGAAAAGCACTGGGGTGAAGCGCCTTCCCCACAACGCACTTCTCACGATTCGTGTTTCGCGTTACGGGGAGCGCCCTGCCCCCCCCCCCGCGCCCGCCCGCCCGCCCGCCGCGCATGGCCGTGTCGCGTGCGCCAGCTCCCCTCGCCGCCTTGCTCCCGCCGCCTGCCAAGGGTGCCTCGCTCAGCGTGGAGAGCGCGAGCGGGCGGGCCCGCGCGCTCCTGCCTGCTGCTCGCCCAGGCGCTGCGTGCGGAGCGGAGCGGAGCGCACCAGGGAGGCGGCGGCGGCGGCGGCGGCTGAAGGACGGGGTGGGGGCAGAGCGAGCGAGCGAGCGGAGCGGAGAGGAGAGGAGAGGAGCGGAGAGGAGAGAGAGGCGAGGAGAGGAGAGGAGGGCCTCCGAGGCGGGAGGGGGGGAGCGCGCCTGGGCGCAAGGCGCTGAGTGGACGGCTCGAGGCAGCGGCGGCGCGTGCGGCGGCGGCGGCGGCAGCTCCAGAGCGAGACACACTTGGCAGCGTCGAGCTGCGTTTCCAGGAGCCGGAGCCGGAGCCCGGAGCCCGGTGCGGCGGGGTTCGCAGCAAGGTGACGGACTGGGCAGCTGCCCCTCCTCCCCCTCCCCCTCCTTTCCTGAAGCCCCCCCTCTTTTTCGCGAGAAAGGGAGGGGGCTCTCTCCAAGGCACGCTTTGCTACCTCCCCTTTTCGCCTACTTTCCTTTGCTCCGGGCTAGAGGTTGCTGCGGGTTTTTTCTCCCTTTTTGGCGGGGGGCTGTTTTGCCCGGGTTTGCCGGAGTGGGTCCGTTTTGGATAACCGCCGCTTGTTCTCTCCCCCAGATGCGAAAGGTAGCAGCCTTCGCGTGCGTGTGGGCAGCCGCTTGGTGCAGTCAGGCTGTGGCGGCGGCGGCGGCGGCGGCGGCGGCGGCGGCAGGAGCCGGGGGCAGGTCAGACAGCGGCAATTTTCTGGATGATAAACAATGGCTTACAACTATCTCGCAGTATGACAAGGAGGTTGGACAGTGGAACAAATTCCGAGACGTAAGTGTGTGCCGTGCTCGCCCACCTGGTTCCTCCGATCGCTTCTGCCTACCCCACCCCCAATGCTGCTTACCTGGGTCTTCGCTGCGGCCGTGACCACCTTTCCTGTCCGGGAAGAAGTTTTGGGCTTGCTCCCTCCCGTTTGTCAGTCTGGCATGGCCCCTTCCCCTCCCCCCCCCCACTTTGAATTTCAGTACGAGTTGAGTTTGTTTCGTGACAACCTCCCCCCTTCCCCAATTTCCTCGTTTCTCCCTCCTACAACATAGCGATGCAATCCCAACTTGGGGTGGGGGGTGATAAGGGGGAAAGGGACGGTGGGGAGAAAAGGAAGGACGTCGGGTTTTTCGCCTCGCCTTGGATGTAAAAGTGCATGCCCACAGTGGGAGCTTTCTCGCTGCCGGCGAATGGCTGTTCCTGAATAACGTAAAAAAGCAAAAAGAAAAGAAGGGATCGATCCGACGGCTTAATGGAAGCTTTGAAAGAGCGTTAAAGTAAGAGGAGGGAAGGAGAGCGGGAGTGGGAGAGAGAAAGCGAGCACGAAAGACAATGCTACTTTGGAGGACTTGGATGTCTGCGAGCGAATAAAAGCCCTGATTGATGGTGATATGCCGCCAAGCTCTGGAGAGGTGGGGGAAGACTTTCCCACCCCCTCCAGTTCTCCGAGCGGAGGAGAAAAGCTCAGGCTGAGCGCTGATCCTCAGATGCTGAGGTCCAGGGAATGGGAATGGTGCTGAAAGGGTTAAGCTGTGCTCTTCTGCTGGATGCTGCTCTACAAAGGGGTGGGGGGGTTGCTTGAGGAGAAAAGAGTACTCAGCAACTCCGTGCTGCAGGGAAATGAGAGGAAGCTGAGAGTCAAATTGTCATCCAGGGCCCTATGGGAAAGACACATTCCGTTCGAGCGAAGTGAGCTGCACGCTCTGAGACTGGGTGCTAGAGGAATGTGGGTCTTTGCAGTTTGTCAGCTCCCATCAGAGTTCTCTGTCTAGGGATTTTTGATCTTTAACTGCAAGAGAGCTAGGTGCACAAGGAGTTGGCCACCTGGTGCCTTCCAGATGGTTTGGACTACAACTCCCATAATCCCCGATCTTTGGCCCTGCTGTTTTGGATGCATGGAAATTGTAGTCCATGGTTGGGGAGCGCCAGGGTCATTTGTAAATTTGGAGGAGCCAGGATGCATGCAACAGGAACAAAAGCCAAAGCTAAGCAGTGGCTGTATTTCTCTTCACTTCACACTACTTTTAAACTGATCAACAGTGAGCAAAAGCTAGGATGAGTTATGTCTCCAGCTTGCAGGCCAATCTTGTCTGTGTACAAAGTACTTCTGAATGAATGACGAGGAGGGAGTACTAGTACTAGACTGAGCTTCACCCTCTCCAGTAAGGTGTCAAGACACAACATATAGTACTTTTGAGCTCTTCATAATTCAGGCATGGTGAAGAACAATACATGGATTTCCATTCTACTTGATGATGAATTCAATGAATTTTTCTTAACTTGTTTTTGAGCCATTTAAATGATTGTGTAACATTTGTACTAGGGACAAATGTTTGCTCTCTGTAGCCTGATCTGCACATCTTTACTTGAAAGTCAGCTCTACATTATTCAGTGAAACTTATCCAGACATATGTGTAGTGAAGTCTAGGTTGGTACTTACTGGATAATAAAATCATATTAAAGATAGCAGGACAATATTGTTCATAATTGGACAGTGTACTTCGTACTGAAGTAGTGGAACAATGTACCTATTGAAGATAGGTAAACCGATGTAAGAGTTCATGATCAGACATGACCAAATTTCTTTGGAAGTAGTAAACAACAACATATGTTTAACTTGCTCTTCCTATAAGTACCAAGTTGAAACACTAGAAATTTCTATTGATAATTCAACAGCAACACATCATTAAAATGGCAAAACTGTATTGGTATTTATTTATTTAAAACATTTGTATGCCGTCCTTCACTATCGCATCTCAGGACAGCTTACAAGATTAAAAGCAAAACCATAGAACAATCGATAAAACAGTACTATACAACAAAATTATCAGAAGCAGCAGCAGCAGCATCGTTTGGATCAATTTACCTTAAAGAAAAAAGCAGCAGAAGCCATATTACTCATTTTGGTACTGAGCAAAACTTTTTCATTAGAATGTTAAATAAATGTAGTATAGGTTAACATGTGTTGGCAGTAGCCTTTGCTTATGTTCCTTTCATGAACATTTCATTGTCATCGTGTTAGGTTTTTTTGGGTCAATTTTTTGTAGTTAATATTTCAGAAAGCTTAAGCAAGCTGCTCTGTTCTGCAATACATGTCTGGTCATCTTAACCTCTTATTAGTTCATCCTTCATCTAAGAGGAATCAGTTTTCACAGCTTGGGGAATCTCTTGACTTACAATGATCACAACAATGGCAGAGAATTAATACTGAAAGAAACAAGAAAATGTGGAAAGGAGATTTCACAGCTGTATTAGTCATAGGGAGGACAAGTCAATAGCATAACATCTTAAGGTTAGAAATCATGATAAATGGAATAAGTTGTCCTCTGGAATTAAACCAATTGGACTATGGATCTCTATAGTTCAGATTATGCCTTAACTATTTCATTATTCTCAATATGAAACAGTGATTTTTAGTAGTTAGAAATCTGATTGAAAATGTGCTGTAATATAGTTTCCTGTTTACTTGTTCCAGGGCTGTAAATATAAAGCCAGTATATAACAAAGTGTGTTCAACTGAATTGTCTGCTTGCTTACCTGAATATCACAGTGGATTAAGAGAAAAATTGGATGGCATTGGAATTTGAATCTGTAACTGGATTTGTTCTTAATTTGTTCAAAACGAAAATACTGCAAAATAGATTTTACTATGTAGTGTTCTAATTAGTCTTTTAATATCTGGTCAAGTGCAGGTGGCCAAGAATATGTATAAGTGTGTATATGTGTGTATAAACATTAGCATGTGATTATGCATCCAGTGTTTACAATTTAGTTTCAAATACAGAGTGAAATGTTAAACAGTGGTTACTTAGTATCAGCTTTATGGTGCTGAACTGGAAGACTGAGGTTGTCTGGTAGAGTAGTATGCAGTTGTTGCTGGTTGTGGGACTAATAGCAAATCATCATTGTAGTGATATATCCATTAAGGCTGAATTCCTGTGCTCAGTTAAGTGTAGGTACCATTCAGCTTGCTTGTAAGCATGTTGCTTGCTGATGTCATTTTCATAATGCATTATCTTGCAAAGAGGTAAATGTAGTGTAGATGTGTGTGCTAATCTTGAATGCTAACCAGACAATTTATTCTATTTTAAAACATGCAAGAAGTTCCCTAATTCGTAAAGTCTTTGGACAAAGTCCTTCCTGCCAACTCGTCCCACAAAATGCCTTGGTCTATTTCTGCTTAAGCAGTTGATTGGACTTAATCATACCTGAGATCAAGCCACACTGAACTCAGTGGAGGTTCCTTTTGAGTATATTAGGTGTGTACTGCAAGGTATTTTCAACAATGTTTGCTAAATGCCACAGTATCAGTATACTTCAAAGGACAGTATCAGTGGTGTTGGTCAGTAAAGTTAGAATAACTGCTTGGGTGAAGCAGAAAAAAAAAAAGATAAAAAGGGGGTTAATCTAAATACCTAACTTTGCTGGGTCCTTTTCTGACAGAGGAACTTATGTGTCAGTTGGTAGGCACAAGTTCCTAAGGCAGTGCTTTCCTCTCACAAGCTGTATGACCAAACTCTACCTGTTGAACTTCTTAGTATAATGCAATTGTTAAAGGCACAGAAGCCTTATAATCCTATTGTTATATTTGGATTTGTTGTATCCATTCTGAGCTTATCTTCACTTATTCAAAAAGAGCTTGAATGTGAAATATGGAATGGGAAAAGGTAATAAAATTACACAGTTCTGAAACAATTAAGTTTAAAGTAGTGTCTGTGAAGTCAAAGTGATTAACTGCTTAGGGCTACTTTGAAATAATTATATAAGTTTACAATAGTCAGAGCTTTTGGTTAGGCCTCTGCAGTTACTAAAGATCTAAAATGTATTTTTCAAATCATTCTATAAAAAGTCTTCATTTGTGCTGTTCTGGCCTGATGGTTTAGTTTCAACTATAAAACTTAGTTCTGTTGAAGTGCAGAAAGGAGGATTTTGGATGTATTAACAGTAGTAGATTGTTTGAAAAGCATGCTTTCTGCAAAATAGAGGGTAAATCCTGTCTGTCAGAGGTGATTCTGGTGTGAAAAGAAGTATTTAAAGGCTTAACTCAGGAGTTAACTGACATGATTGATTAATGTGTAAGATAATGACTCTGACTTCTGGCTCATTGGCTCAGCTTTCCAGAGGTGATTTAGAGCACAATGATAAAGAATAGAAGGCAGCTCAGAAATAATTGTTCACAATCAGGAAATAACTTAAACTAATGTGGATTTCACACCAAGTTGTTGGCAACTTTGTCTGATATCTTATATTGCCATTAGATTAAATTGGGTTAATCACTCAAATTATATCTATGGGAGTGCTGTGTGTATTAATCTATCCATGTTTCCTTATGTAAAACCTGACATATGTCTTATTTTAGCTTTATTACAAGTAGGCTCTCTTGTGAAAATCCACAAGAAAGTAGTTTAACAGCTGTGACAAAACCCATGTCTTACATAGCAGAAAATGTAGGTGTTGGGGGTACATGTCAACTTCATGCAAACTTCTGGTAGACATTAAGGAGATCAGAGAGTAGATACCCTGTATTCTTATAGGCTTTCTTTAAAAACTGGAAAACAAGCAAATGTGCCATCTGGTTAAGCAGAAACATAGCATAAGGAGGAGATTTAACCCTTTCTTTGATAGGCATTTGAAATACACTCCAGCTGCTTTTCCATTTGGGGGAAAAAGATGCAAGATGATTACATCTATTATTGTATGAGTGTAATATTCACCTGGGAGAAAAGCAGCTGGGGGATTCTGAATGGGAAGACAGCCTATAGGGTCAAACAGCCCATTTGCCTCAA